TTCGTGAAACTCATTTTTTTGCTGATCGTTTTGGTGCTTAGTCATAGCTATCGTCGTTTGATGCTTTTTTTAAGGTCTGAGTAATCATCATTGAGGACTTTCTACCTGTTGTATGTTTGTTTAAATGAATTACATGAGTTAGAACCTAAAATATGCCTAGTACCAGCGATACCAACTGTTATATTCGCCCATTTTCTGATTGTCAGATAAGTAATAAAAAATAATTGTTATTTCATTTCTTGATTCTTCAATTTTGTCTGCTGTATTGGTAATCATGGTGGTTCATTCTTATTTTAGAAAATTATTCGTCTTGATCCGCATATCGGTCTGCTACATCGTGGTACAGAAAAGTTGATTGAATACAAAACATACACTCAAGTAAGTATTGAAATTTAGTTCCATCTGCTATTTAGCTCATTTTAAGCTCTGAACTTAGAGCTTAAGCTTGCTATCCCTTTTGAGGCATAGAGTGCTAATAAAGGGTTCTCCAAGAAACACTGCTCTGGGCCCTTTTTCAGTTGTTGATAAGTGCTCTTCGTGGTCTTTATGCCTCAGATTCTCGGCGCCATGTGATTTTTGACTTGATTCTTTTGCTTCTACCGCAAAAATTCCAAGTCACGTCCTGCCTTATGATGCATTTTAATGGTTTCGGTAGTGTGTCTTATCCACCTAGAGCGTCTCTTCCTAATTTGATTTTCAGCTGGTAGCTGGTTTATTCTCTGCTGGAGTGGGTTATTGTAGGTTGTTTCTGACCAACGGATCTCAGGTATTCTGAGTAGAGAGCTATTTACAAATATTTTTACGTTTTTGGTCATTAGTGGTGGTAGTTGTTCAAGTTTCAGCTCCGTACAATGTAACTGCGTTAACGTCAGTGTTGAAAATTATGGCTTTAGTTTTTGGGTGACAGTTGTTTTGAGTTCCAGATATTCTTCGATTGTAGGAATGATCTTGTTTGGTAAGTTGTGATTTGATATCTGCACCAGATCTTCCTCGTTTATCAATGATACAGCTCAGTTACGTAGAGACTTTCATTTCTTCTACAGTTTCGCCTCTACTTGAAACTTGTTTGGTGCTGTGTTGTACTTTCGAATCTTACTTTTCCTCTTATGATTGTTGAGGTTTATTTCTACAAAATCTGCTGCTGCATTGACTGTTTTGATCTGCATTTGTTTCTGTGTATGCGAAATCAAGGCTGTCTTCTGCAAAGTTTAAGTCATCTAGCCGTATCCAAGGTATCAATCTCACTCTACTTTTTTCCTGAGTGGAATACGTCTTCATAATCTAGTCAACAGCTGACAGAATGATGATAATTTTCCCAGATACTCTATAGTATCGAAAAAGTCCATACGGTTTTCATATCCACGCTTACGAATACTTTCTGATAATTGAGGGTTTTGATTTATAGTGGTTGGTTCATTTCTATTGATTGTTCTAAAATTATTTTCACTGTCGCGATTCGATCATTATATAATTGGTTCTTACGAAAGCTTGCTGCTCTTTAAGGTAAGAGTCAACTAAATCTTTCCTTCGGTTAAGAAAAACTCGAAAAGGTTGTCTGCTACTAATGGTAGTGTAATCACTGTATTTTTCACATTTACTGAGATCTTGTTTTGAGATAATTATGAGGCATCACTCTTTCCAGTCTGTTAGTTATTGTTCTTCCTCCCAGTTCCAGTTCCAATAGTCATCCCACATGCTCTTCTTTATTCATTTGTTTGCTTGTGTATATTGGGCCTGTACTTCAACTTTCCATTCTGTTGTTTGGCTGTTGTTGACTGCTTCTTAGCTTTCCTTTTTTCAGTTTTACCTGGTCTGTATACAGAGATCCGTTGTTTATGCTGGTGCCCTCTGAAGCCAAGCACCTCCTGACATATGGAAGATATTGCTTCTTTAGTACCTTTCTAGTTGTTCTCCATATTGGTTTTCTCTACTTCTAGTAGATCTTGTAAGGTCTGAAACTTATTGAGAATAAGCCTGAATTCTTAGTGTGGTCACTATCAGGTAGTGATATGAAACTCTGTCAACTCCTTTTGTATGCGAAGCATTTTCTTCTTTACGATCAGTGTACAACGGCATCTCTCGAATCTAATCTCTGTTCAGCTTGGGTCCGATTGATTTCACCTATTCCGATAACCACCGAGTTTTATATCCTCATTTGCGCAGTTATTTGATTGACCCTCTTGGTCACCCATATTGTCAGGACATTTTATGTACCTATATTAATTGTTGCTCTGGTTGTTAGAAGAGGCATCGACTTCGTGATTTCCAAAATGTCGGCTTTCACCATGATGTATCATAATTCTTCTAAATGAATATCGTTCAACTCACAGATAAGAATTTAAATGGTTTGATTTGTTTATTCTGGCCAGCGTTTTTTAGCAAGGTTGTTTTCTACGAGATGGGGTTTCGGACCTCATGCATAGTCCTTCTTTATTTGGAATTTGGACCGTCAGTAACTCTAGAAGGGTTGCAGCCGGAGTTATTTACTGAATAGGCATATAAACATGATCATAATAATGCAAAACTCGGGAAAATTTCAAAGGTATTTTTATAGATTGTGAACTTTGTACATAGCTAAGAGTATTTGATAGTATTATGGTAAATAGCATAATCCTATTTATTAGATCGAAGTTTTGTTGGAATGTAGCCACTGTTTCTGTTTTCTTACTCAGGCTTTGCCTTATTTTGATCGACTGGATTATGCCTCCATGATGTGTAACGAACAGTGTTATGCATTGGCCGTGGAGAAGTTACTCAATATTGAAGTACCTCCCCGTGCAAAGTACATACGAAGTTAGTTGAATATATATATATATATATATATATATATATATATATATATATATATATATATATATATATATATATATATATATATATATATATATATATATATATATATATAGTTTATTGTTTTTCATTCTGTGCTGAAATTGTCATTTCCAGCCAACATCGAGATCTGCAGGACAAACGAACTACATGTGGAGAAATTCGAATACTTCGCTTCTATCGGAAGTTTGTGCTGATGATGTCGTTCAGAAGAACGATGAAAGGTCCACGACCAAACCATCCAGCTCAGAGAACAAAACTCCATCAAAATTGTCATTTTGATGATAAAAGTATGGTAGTTTGTAAGCACTGCAGTTTTTTTTGGTTGTTTAGTGTTTGCATCTATTCGGCGCCCGTCATTAGTCGTCTACTGTTTGCACCAGATGATCCTCGGTGAAATAGTATGAAGTTTTTATTGTGTTCGGTGTATCCGAAGTAGAATGTACGATCATCGTGAGATTATAATGAGCCATAATTGTTTTGCAAAATTGATTCCACTGTGCAGCAACATCTGAATTTTGATTATTTTTCATAATAAATGCTCAGTTAAGAAGTGTATATACACAAACCCTCGTACTTTTAGGTCAAACTATAAGTTCGGTTATTTGAATCAATTACGCAATCAATTACACAATTATATGGATATTCTATCGGTTATATTTCTTGTTCATGTCTTGGTTTTCCTTTTCTTAATGCAAAGCAGTATTGTACTCATCTCGTATAATCACGGTTATATTTTTTATATATGATTTTCCGTGAAGCATATTTAGGTCATGGAAAACCTCACAGTAATCGTTCAAGATGATGATGTGTGTGATATTTCAAAGCTATAGTGCTTATGACTTTGGTATATTTGGTATATTCTTGTCCCGCTTTACATGTATAGGTTTGTAGGTCTAATTCTAACCATACCGGTTTTGTTTACTTTTGATGCTTTATTATACAATTCTCTCAAAGGTTATTTATTAATTGATTTACCAATTAATTCACTATTCTTATTATATAGAAGTTAAATAGATAGGCAAGTGTTATAAAACATAGGTTTGTTCTCTTTTTTTAATCTAGCTCTTTATGCTGAAATAACTAGAATATTGAATCACTGTTTAGCTGTTGGTTCCACTGTTCTGGATATTGGAGCTATAACTCCAATCTTCTGGTTGTTTGAAGAACGTGAAAAAATGTTTGAATTCTATGAACGTGTGTCTGGTGCTCGTATGCACGCTGCTTATATTCGTCCAGGAGGTGTTTATTTAGATATGCCACTGGGACTGATGGATGATATTTATCAGTTCATACAAAAATTCCCCCAGCGGTTGGATGAAGTAAGTTGTATGCCATCTTGATTTGACCTATTATTCACTCCTATTTCATTCGTTCCTTTTGTTCTTGGCTTTACTTATCTGTTCTAAAGTTAGACACCTGTTACTCGATATAATTTTGGTGCTGCAGGTAAGGGTTTCAAAATTATGAGTAGACTATATTCATGCGACTTTTTGACGGAAATATTGAATGTAACCTTCCTCAGGCAGATGTCGCTTGGGCTTTGTGGTTGTATGTTCGTGTAGGTTCGTTCATCGATAACAAGATTATTTTTAAGACATAACAAGATGATCTTCCGCGATATTGGCTTTCTAAAACCGTCAGTTTCCGTCTAAGTTCAGCTAACTTCAAGTCCCCCACTGCTTGAATAATCTCACCTGTCTAGTATGATGAATTTGTACATTCCACTTGTAGAATATCAGTGGTCTTATTACCGAGCGTTTTCTATCGACTCCAAAAACAGGAAATACGATATTCGGTTTCATTCTGGTCAGTAAGTTATATTCATTGTCCTTTTGAATGTTCCTGTAAAAACCAGTACGTATTCATCTATAGTTGTGTGGAGATTTTGCGTATTTACTGACTTAATACACTGCTGATTGGGTAAAAAGTTAACTATTGGAAATTGTTCGGACCTATTTGTCGTAAGGAGTGCTTTTCCCATGTAAGTATTGTTTGGAAATAGGTTGCTTACCGAAATTTCAACCCGAATCAACAAATAGTAATTTCCACTTCTAACTTTAAAGATTTACGTACGAATAAATTAGGCGCCATGAATCTTGAAGCCTGGATTTTTATTCCCCAGAGACACTAAAAAACTCCGCCTGTAGCTCTTATAGGGTTGCTGCCGGTCCCAAGCCCGGGTAAAGGAGGAGGGTTGGGCATGGGGTTAGCGTCCCCATCCCGTAGAAAACTAACTCGCTAAAAAAACGCTTACCAGAAAAAATAATCCAAACCATTTTAACTCTGCACTGGGAGTTAGAAGGTCTTCATTTAGAAGAATTATGACGCTTCATGGTGAAAGCCGAGTTCCTTCGGAAGCCACGAGGCCGATGCCCCTTCTAACAACCAGAGCAAAAATTTTTATAGGTACATGGAACGTTCGAACAATGTGGGAAACCGGGAAGACCAGTCAAATATCAATGGAAATGAGGAGATACAACTTAGCAGTACTGGGAATCAGCGAAACCCACTGGACCCAAGCTGGACAGAAAAGGCTAGCTACGGGAGAGATGCTGCTATACTCCGGTCACGAAGAGGAAAATGCTCCACATACTCAGGGAGTCGCTCTTATGCTGTCCAAAGTAGCACGAAATGCACTTGTAGGATGGGAATCTCACGGATCCAGAATCATCAAAGCATCATTCAAAACAAAGAAGGAGGGGATCTTAATGAATATTATCCAATGTTATGCACCCACCAATGATAGCAACGACGACATTAAAGATCAATTCTACGAGCGGCTGCAGTCAGTGATAGAGAAATGCCCAAGAAAGGACCTCACCATTCTAATGGGAGATCTAAATGCCAAAGTCGGAATAGACAACACTGGATATGAAGATATTATGGGACGACATGGACTGGGAGAAAGAAACGAAAATGGAGAAAGATTTGCAAATCTATGCGCTTTCAACAAATTGGTCATAGGAGGCACAATATTTCCACACAAGCGTATACACAAGGCTACATGGATCTCACCGGACCACACTACAGAGAACCAAATAGATCATATTTGCATCAACAAAAAATTCCGAAGGACAATGGAAGATGTGAGAACCAGGAGAGGTGCTGACGTAGCTTCAGATCACCACCTAGTTGTAGCCAATTTGAAACTGAAGCTAAAAAAGAACTGGACAAGTGGACAAACAGCAATACAAAGGTTCAATACAGCCTTCCTTCGAGATACTGTCAAACTCAATGAATTCAAGATAGCTCTCAACAACAGGTTCCAAGCCTTACGAGATCTACTGAAAGAAGAAGAAACTACTATGGAGGACAACTGGAAAGGCATCAAGGAAGCATTAACTTCAACGTGTCAAGAGGTTCTGGGTCTAAAGAAATACCATCATAAGGAATGGATCTCTACAGAAACAGTGGACAAGATCAAAGAAAGGAAGAACAAGAAGGCAGCAATAAACAACAGCCGAACACGAGCAGAGAAAGTCCAAGCACAAGCTGAATACATAGAAGCAAACAAACAAGTGAAGAGGAGCATTAGAGCCGACAAGAAGAAATACGTTGAAGAACTAGCAACGACGGCAGAAAAAGCTGCTAGAGAAGGAAACATGAAACAGCTTTACGATACAACGAAGAAACTATCAGGGAAATACAGTAAACCAGAGAGGCCGGTCAAAGACAAAGAAGGCAAGCCAATCACCGAAATTCAACAACAACGTAACAGATGGGTAGAATACTTCGAGGAACT